CGGCGCCAGGGGGCCAGTTGGTGGGTGTGACCCCCGCCTACTGGAATTTGGAGGATCTGGGTGGAGGATGCTCAGCCCCGATCCGAGTAGGCTGGGAGATCTCAGTCCCAGGACCCGCATGCCTTTGTTCCTCTGCCGGTACCATCTTGTGTGCGGAGAGTGGTCTCAGCATGGTGGTGGCTAGTTCGGGAGGTCTTCTGCTACCGGAGCCCTGGTCGGGGCAGGGAGGAGAACTCAACCTGCTCCCCTCCAAGGGGCCCTGGCGAGGACAGCCAGGTACGGGGGCAGGAGACTCTGCACTTTATATTTTAATAATTTAAATGATTTTTATTGAAAACAGTCATTATTCTAAATCCTTTTAGATGTTTGTTTTCTCTTAGCCCAAGTTTTGAATACTGAAATCAAAGCTTGAATTAATTTGCCTCAACATATATGCTCATAATTGTTGTGTGACATATATTTGGCATTGAGATTTTGGGGTTGTGTTTTTGTTGGTTTGATAATTTTTTGTTGGTTTTAGTTTGTTTTTTTTTCTTTCGGGGCACACCTAACCAGTGCTCAGGGCCATCTCCCAGCCATGCTTGGGGATCACTCCCTGTAATACCCAGTGCTTGGAGAACCATGTAGTGCCCAGAATCAGGATCTGGCCTAAGGCTCCTGCATACAAAGCATGTTCTAAGCCATTAAGCACTCTCAGCCCCAGCACTGAATTTAATAATTCCCTAAAATCATGTGTAAAATATTGTCTGTCCATATTTCTACTCTCTCAGGAGAGTTCCCAACCTTTATCATTTTATGTTCTAGAAGTTTGAAGTCACTACTGGAAATATAAGCCTCAGTGACCTTATGACCATGAATAAGTCCACACAAGACCTCAAGTAAATGATTTGCTGCCCAGTAGAATGACTAGGAAATAAAGGGCATTCCTAGAAGTTTTACTTCTGCTGATTTGAAAGAGGCTCTGTTTTAGGGAGGAAGCATGATTTCATTCCCTTGCAAACTTTTTAGACTTAGAGAAAGAAAATATTTAAAGGTTAGAAGCATAAAATGATTCCCTGCTGTTGTGAAAGTAACCCGGTTGGAGTTCAGCTTCAGTTGTTGAGCTAAAATAATTTGTTTTATCAAGCCAGCTACTTGAGTTCAGCCTAGAGAGTATTCCATATAAATTGCCCATAAAGGGCATAACCCCCGTAACTTTACAATCTTACTGAGGAGATGAAGCATGGCAGCCAAAGTAAAGAACATAACCACATTGAGTAGGGGGTAGTAGTCAGGAAGTGGAAGAGACAGAAGAATCTACAGTGACCTGAGAACTGAGAAACAACGGACTTTTTAGATTGGAGACCAACCAACTTTTTCTTTGAAGGGCCTTGTAGTCAATATTTTATACTTAAAGGGCCACTTACAGTTCCTGTTAAATATCCTTTTTGGGTGTCATTTAAAATATGGGCAGGGCTGGAGAGATAGCACAGCGGGTAGGGCGTTTGCCTTGCACGCAGCTGACCCGGGTTCGATTCCCAGCATCCCATATGGTCCCCTGAGCACCACCAAGAGTACAGGAATAACTGCTGAGTGCAGAGCCAGGAGTAACCCCTGTGCATCGCCAGGTGTGACCCAAAAAAGCAAAAAATAAAATAAAATAAAATATGGGCAGAGAGATAACACAGGAGATAGGGTGTTTGCCCTGTATGCAGCTGATCCTGGTTCAATCCCCGACACCACATAGTAGCCCCTGAACACTACCAGAGTCATTGCTATAGTGACCCAAAAACCAAAGAATAAAATACAAAGACATTCTTACCTTATCGGCCTTATAAAATAGGCTTCAAGTAGTAGTTTGCCAGCCCCTGGTTTAGATGGAGGGTGAAGGTGAAAACAGAAAGAATTTCTTTTTTATTTTACAAATCAAACATTTGCTGTAATAAATCATAAGGAAAATTATTTTAAAGCATTAAAGTTACATGTTCCCATATAGAGTCATGACTCTCAGTTTAAGAAGCAAAGATCTATTCAACCTTCCCTCTTTCTGTTCTGCTCAAAATCTGTTGCTTTATAGTATCTGTAGTTTTGCCTTTTCCAGGCTTTTCTTTCTCTAATTTATTCACTTAGCAATATGCATTTTAGAAAACAGAAAGAATTTCTAAAGGATTGGTTCCTGTGAAATTATATGAAATCTTTATTTCCAGGTAAGACATATGGCTGTGAAATAGCCAGAGCAATAGTACAGTGGGTTGGGGGCTTGCCTTGCACATAATAGACCCAAGTTAGATCTCACTTTTCCATATGATTCCCTGAGAACCTCCAGGAATAATTCCTGAGTGCAGAGCCAGGAGTCAGCCCTGAGCATCACCGGGTATGGCCCCCAAAATAAGCAAACAAATCCAGAAGTATGACTTCCAAATAGAGAAAGAATTGGATATATGGGGGAGAAGAGGATTTATGAATAAATCAATCCAAGCCTGATAAGACTTGCTGTTGTGGGATGGAGAAGGCCAGAATCTAAGGATCACTCTCTAGAGAACACTGTAAGCCCCAGCGACAGTGGTTGAGGAAAGCAGGTAATGTAAGTATAGGTATTTATATCTGGAAGCTGAAAGCATGGTGGTGGCATAGATAGAGAATTGGGAAAAGGGGTCATTTGGGGGCAGCTGATGTAATTTGAATCTGAGCTGTGGGTGAACCTTCTGGCGCAGGCAGAAATTTTGAAGGTAACTTAGTGAATCAGTCATTTGTAGATGGTATGCCAGGCCACTTGGGGAACCAGGTAATGCCCAGCTTTAGTCTATAAAGGAGTAGAGCAAAAATTGGGGGAACAAATTTGGAGGTAAAAAGAAATCTAAATTTTTTTTTTTTTGCCAAACCTGTACCGCCCTCCTTGCCAGTAATTCATTTATTTGTCTGTAAAAGAATTAAAGAAGCTTTTTCGTCCAGACCCCGAAGTAGGTTACTATCGCCGGGCCACCCCAGGGGGGAAAGGGTGTTGTCCCTCCGCCTGCTTCCCCCTGGCGGCTCGGTGGCCATCATCCTCCAGAGGCCATTGGACAGTCAGGCTTGGGCCCGCAGTGACGAAACTCATTGGGCCTCACGGGATGGGGGTGGATCCGGGCTTGTCCTCCCCACCCCAACGAGACCCCAAGTCATCGCCCACAAACGGCCTCTCTGGCTCCTGATCAAGCTGCTTAATGGCTATGATCCCAGAGACTCAGAAACAAATCTCAAAACCCAGCGGCTTTTGGCAGAAAAGCGTCCGGACCCCACAGTAGGTTACTGTCGCTGGGCCACCCCAGGGGGGAAAAGGTGTTGTCCCTCCGCCTGCTCCCCCTCGGCAGCTCGGTGGCCGTCATCCTCCAGAGGCCATTGGACAGTCAGGTCTGGGCCCGCAGTGATGAAACTTGTTGGGCCTCACAGAATGGGGATGGAGCCGGTCCTGGTCTCCCCGTCCCAACGAGACCCCAAGTCATCGCCCACGAAGGGCCTCTCTGGCTCCTGATCAAGCTGCTCAACGGCCAAGATCCCAGAGACTCAGGAGCAAATCTTGAAACCTAGTGGCTTTTGGCAGAAATCCCTCCAGATTTAAGTGTTAAAATTTCGGAATTTCAAAATCACATGACCCTACCGCAGCCACGCGACATCATATGTTATTCATAACCAGCAATAGAACACAAATTGTCTACTGCTGCCTTTTCAGCAGATCTGAGTGTTGGGGTAAAATCTCAAATAATAATGGTGGGTCTGGTGTCAAAATATTGAATGTGATCAAAGTGGAGAGAGAATAATGTGGAAATCATCTGCCCCACAGGTAGGGGGAGGGTGTGGGATGGGGGTATACTGGGGTTTTTGGTGGTGGAGAATGGGCACTGGTGAAGGTACGGGTGTTTCATTGTATGACCGAGACTTAGACCCGAAAGCTTTGTAACTGCTCTCACGGTGATTCAATAAATAAAATTATAAAAAATGAAAGAAGTAAGGTGGAGTTCATGCACAATTCAATCAGCTAATCAGTGGCTGAATAAATAGCAGTACTCCTACATAAAAAAAAGAATTAAAGAAGCTTTTACAACTCATTATAGAGTACTGTGATTAGTCTAATATTTTATTCAATTTAGGATTTATTCACAGATTCAAATTGAGCAAATAATTATTATGCTATGCTAAGTACTTTTTATGCATCTAACAGGCACTGTTAGGATGTTTATACTCATTAGCACATTTGCTCTTCAAAAGTTTCATTCTGTTTATTTTCTAACACTTTTTATCTTGGTCACAATGATGCATGACTTGTAGAATTTGTATATGACTGTCAAATTATAATACATAATTATTGAAGAAGCTTTAGAAAATTAAGGCCAAAAAGAATTAAGGCCAAAGTAATACCAAAACTCAGATAACAAATAGCTATATTAACCTGTTTGTGTTTGTCCTACAATATTCTGTCATCCTTAAGGTCAGTTCTCATATGCTGATCTTCTCACTTTGCTGATATCACTTAGATGCTGCAGTTTGCTTTTCTATCTATTTTAAAAGTTAGTAAATTCTGTTTATGAGTTTGTACCCTTATTTACCTCTTGTAATAATAGAGGGATTGCTGAAGAGATAGTACAGTGGGTAGGATGCTTGCCTTGCAGTTAGCTGACCCGAGTTCAAGTCCCTGGCATGACATATAGTTGGTCCCACTAACCCACATCTGGGCTGTACAGCCCTGAGCACAGCCTGGTGTGCCCCACCCCCAAAAACTTAATTTTTTTCTTTTTGGGTCACACCCAACGATGCTCAGGGGTTACTTCTGGCTCTACACTCAAGAATTATTCCTGATGGTGCTTGGGGGACCATATGGGATGCTGGAAATCTAACCCAGGTTGGCCGTGTGTAAGACAAACACCTTACCTGCTGTGCCATTGCTCCAACCCCAAAACTTAAAATTTTTTAAATTAGGGAATGCTCTGTGACAGACATTTACTTTGGTGGAAAGATCCTAACTATTCTTCCCATCTCTTCCTCAGGCCTGTTATGGTATCCTTAAGGTCCCAGAAGGCAGCTGGCTGTGTCGCTCCTGTGTCCTAGGCATTTATCCTCAGTGTCTGTTATGTCCAAAGAAAGGTGGAGCCATGAAGCCTACCAGGACAGGTACTAAATGGGCTCATGTCAGCTGTGCACTGTGGATTCCAGAGGTAAGAATTTGACTAAGTCTGCTATTCAATTTTCTCAGGGTGCTGTTTCCCACAAACAGCTCAGCAGTCAGGTAGGTAGTGGTGCTTCTAGGATAGCATATCAGTTCGTGGTGCTCACCAGGAGTCACACTCATTTAGTTGTGACACTTGTTTAGTTGGTTATTGGGCTTGCCAGGGGTCACTGTGGTCCTAACACACAATTTGGAAGTACCTTCCTCATCAGCATTCACATACTTTTTTAGGTGCGATTGTCATACCTTTTAGTTGAGGTGCTCATACACATTTGATTGCAATACAGCCTGAAATTACTTGCAGAGCCAGGCATCACAGACAGCACCACTGCCAAGGAAAAACAGTAGAGCTTCCAGGATCACACTTGTCATATGTAATAACACCAGGTACCAAACTCACAGCCTCATACTTGCCTTGCAAGCACTTTTTTGGTTTGTTTTTGGGCCACACAGGCAGTGTTCAGGGTTTACTCCTGGCTCATCATTCAGGGTACCATATGGAATGCCATGGATTGAACCCACTGTCCTATCACTCCAGCTCCAATGAGACCTTTTATATGGAAGTTTTTTAACCTTTTTGGGGGCCATCACCTGGAAGTGCTCAGCACTACTGGCTAGCTACTTCGGCGAACTCCTGGCAGCGCTCAGGGGACCACACTGTGCGAGAGATCAAACCCAGGCCTCTAGTGTGCAAAGAATATGCTGCAGCCCTTTGAGCCACCTCTTGGCCCCACATCATTCAGTTATTCTTGTATTTATCCCTTTTAGTACCCTCTGAGACTAATTTCACATTGAAGCTACTTTGACTAAGAAGAAAGAGTATGCTGATGATTAGTGTGTAATTTTTTAAAATTTCAGTTCAAAAATGTTATCATTGTCGTTCTTTCAACTGAAGTTCTACAATCTGTTGTATAAATTGCTGCTAATTTTGTATGATATGTTGCCAACAATATCACATGTTTTTAAGCTGAACTTGTCACTGCCTTTTTGTTTTCCTTAATTGATTTTTTTAAGAAAAAAAAGGTGCAGCACACCATCTCTAACATAAATAGTCCTATATCATGTGAACTTTACTTCCTTCAGTTTCTAAGTACAGAAATCTTTGAAGCTAGGCATGCTAATGGGCTAAAAAGATAGTATAGCAAATAAGGTGCTTGCTTTGCACCCAACTGACTTGAGTTCAGTCCCTGGCATGGGGTATGGTCTCCCAAGCCCCACCAGGTCATCAAAAGGTGTGACCCTAAGATTTACAGGAATGAAAAAGGCTTGCCATGCTTAGTCTCCATTCCCACACTCTTATCTTTTACATGAATTTTTTATATTAAAGAAATGATTGAAGGTTTCAGCAGTGGCTAGAGTCAGGCTTTAAAAGTGATTGTGATTCCATAGTAACCTTTTTTGTTGTTATTTTGCATGGACCACACTGGCATTTCTCTGGGCCAGCTCAATGCTCATGGATCATCTATGGTGGTGCTCAGGGTGTGATGTCAGGAGTCAAACCCAGACCTCCTGCATGCAAGACATACACACTAACTCTTTGTTTTGTCTTGGCTCAGGGGCCACACACATCAATTCTCAGGACTTACTCCTGGCTCTGTGCTCAGAGAAAACTCCTGGCAGACTCAAGTGAAAATATGGGCTGCTAGAGATCAAACCCGGGTCAGCTGCATGCAAGACAAGTACCCTAATCTCAGGAAGGGGCGGGAAGGCCAAGTTCCCACCCTACCAAAGCCCCTACAGCTGGACTCACACGCCACGACTGCCACCATGCCTCCTGCCAGACAGCCCAGTAAAACATTGTGGATTTTTTTTGAGACATCACCAAACTACAATAATAATATTCCCAACAGGAGCACACCAGATTGGATGGGAATGTAAAGTAGAAGTCGACTAATCTAAACTAACAGAAACGTTAATGCAAAAGCCTTAACTAGTAACAGCAGCTTAGTAAACCCTCAGACAAGGACTTAATGTCCCCATGTTGAGATACAATATTTTTTTTAATTTTTATTAGTGAGACACCATGAGGTACAGTTGTAGACTTACAAATTTTTGTGCTTGGGTTTCAGTTATACAATGATCAAATACTCATCCCTCCACCAGTGCCCATTTCCCACCACCACGGATCCCAGTATCCCTCCCACCCCCCATACCCCCCATCCCACCCTGCGTCTGTGGCAGGGCATTCCCTTTTGTTCTCTCTCTCCTTTTGGGTGTTATGATTTGCAAAAGAGGCAATGAGTGGCAATCATTTTCACAGATTTTTTTGTATTATTTATTTCTTTATTTCTTTATTTATTTTTCTTTTTGGGTCACACCTGGTGGTGCACTCAGGAATCATTTCTGACCGTGCTCAGGGAACCATATGGGATGCTGGGAATTGAACCCGGGTCGGCTGCATGCAAGGCAAACACTCTACCCGCTATGCTATCGCTCTAGCCCTTTGATCATTTTTTTGATCATTTCATTAGCCATTTAGTAGTAACAGGTGATATTGGATAAATTATTATAGGCCTGCTACAGGGGCAGGTTTTAAGAAGGGTAGTTGAGATAATGGAGATATTGATGGAGGAAAGATGACAGTGGTGGTAGGATTGGTGTTGGAATAATGAATGCCTGTAACAAAACATCATGAACAACTTTGTAAACCATGGTATTTAAATAAAGTAGTGGTTGGGGAAAAAAGACAAGTGCCCCACTTGCTGTACTATCACTCTGCCCCTGCCTTTACTGAATTTGTGAGGCATGCTCACCTGAGCTCAGTGCTTACTTTAAGCTCTGCGCTCAAGAATCACTTCTGGTGGGGCTCATGGGACCATGTGGAGTATCAGGGATCAAACTCAGATCGGCTACGTGCAAGGCAAGTGTCTTGCCTTCTATACTATTTCTCTAGCCTGCACACTAGCCCTTTAAACTATCATCTCGGCCCCCAAATTATGAGATAACAGAATTCTCTTTCTTTTTTTTTGGAGGGGGTTAATGCTGAGTATTGAACCTATAGCCTCACACATGAGTGGCATCTGTTTTAGATACTAAGCCACGTCCCCAACCCCCACTTTTTTGATAATCTTAAGAGAAAAAAAATATCGCAGTGTTTTGATAGTATGAGGTGCATTGAGACATCATTTATGGTTTGTGAAAGGTTCTTCTGAATGCCTTAGTGCTTCTGCCTTACAGTACTTTTATTTGTAGGTCAGCATTGCTTGTCCTGAGAGGATGGAACCAATCACAAAGATTTCCCACATTCCACCCAGTCGGTGGGCCTTAGTCTGCAGCCTTTGTAAACTGAAGACAGGAGCTTGCATTCAGGTAAGAGCCCATGAGAAGGTAGAGTGGGTTAAAATCAAATTTCACGGGCTCATCTTCCAACTGGGACCTTTATACTAACTGAAATGTCACTCAAGGAGAGACTCTGCCATTTACAGGCCACTTCTGGAAAGCCTTTTTAAAGGTGTTGCCTCTGTATTATCTGCTTTTCTTTTCAGTATTCATAGTGATGTTAGGTAATCTCCATCCTTTGCAGTCAGATGTGATGGGTTGGGTGAGTTCTGAAGTTTGATGATGGTAATCTTAGGTAAAAATAAGCCACAATTAAAACAACCAAGCCCAGGGCTGGAGCAGTAGCAGAGCAGGTAAGACACTTGCCTTCATGCAGCCAACCCACGTTCAATCCCTAGCACCATGTATGGTCCCTGAGCACCACCAGGAATAAGCCCTTTAGCATTGCCAGGTAAGGCCCAAAAACTAACAAATAAATCCACTAAGCCCTTCCTTGTTCTTGTGTGGGTCATCCACTGACCTAGATGGACTTGGGCTCTGGAACGACTTGGCAAATGATCCTGTTGCTAAACTATGTAAAACTCATTTGGGATAGAAGATGTATATGAAAGAGTAAAATGCAGTGGATTAGTTTGAAAAACAAACTCATAGTAAAATTTTCTGAAATATCTGGAGCATCCAGCAGCTTCAAGTTTAAAAAGATATGAAGGGAGGAAAAGAGATAATGTGTTTAAGAGAGAACACAAGGCTTCTATAGAGTGGAAACAGGCAAGCACAGGAACATAGAGATACATGTTCAAGGGAGAACTCAGGCTTAAAGAACTGAAGAGTAAGACTCATACCACCTTTTATTTCAAATGCAAATAGTTTTGTTTTGCTTGTGAAAGGGAAGACAGGGTTGATGTTCCACTTACCAGTCTTCCTGCTTAGAAAACCTAGGTTGGAGTTAGGATCGCATTCTGACCACCATAGAAAGCTTGCCATATAATGTCATAGCATAAAGAAAGTTGTTCTAGGTGCTCTGTGAAGGTGATTACTATTCGGTTATCATGTAGCTGTTTTGCTCTAGACCTGGTTTTCTCCAAACCTCCAAGAAACCCTGAATCTATAGCTGGAAACTGGGGGAGCTGGGGCTTTGTTTGTGTTTTGCAGGAGGGCACACCAGGCAGTGCTTAGAGTTTACTTCTAGCTCTGTGATAAGGGATCACTCCTGGTGGGGCTTGGGGGACCACATACAGTGTCAGCGATCAAAACTGGGTCAATTGTATGCAAGGCAAGCGCCCTACGCACTGTACTATCTCTCCAGCCCCTGAGAAGTGGTATTTTTTTAAAGAATACATTAACTAAGACCCATTGAATTTTTTTTATTTAGATTTTTATTAGTGAAACACCATGAGGTACAGTTGTAAACTTACGAATTTTTGTGCTTGGGTTTCAGTTATACAATGATTGCATACCCATCCCTCCAACCAGTGTCCACTCTCCACCACCACTGATCCCAGTATACCTCCCACCCCTCTTCCCCCCATCCCACCCTGCCTCTGTGGCAGGGCATTCCCCCTTGTTCTCTCTTTCCTTTTTCCTGGGTGCTGTGGTTTGCAAAAGAGGCATTGAGTGACAATCATGTTCGTTCTATAGTCTACTTTCAGCACGCATCTCCCATCCTGGGAGGATCCTCCCAACACCCTTTATTTGGTCAGGATGACTGAGTGGTCTAAGGCACCAGACCCATTGAATTTTTAATTTATCTTTATATCTGAGAGAATTAGGTAATTTTTCTTGATTTTATTGGCTAATTTTAACTGCAGTAACAGCAATTATAAAAGGAAAAAATTAAAATATAGTTATTCCCATGTAGTCTACTACCTTAACACATCCCTATTTCTGTTTCTTAGAGTTCTCTTCTGTTTGCTCCACAACCGGTAATTTCCCCTAGCACAAAGACCCCTGCCTGTTACCAGTGCTCAATTAATGTTTATTGAATAAATATATCCATATTAAATATATCACAGATTAGTTTATGATATGCAGTCCCCCACTAAAATTATGTTTCATGTTTTTCTTATTGTGATACCTGCACCTACCCTCTATTTTTTTTCTTTTTCTTTTCCCCCTCTATTTTTAACAACAATTGGCAACACTACCAAGCTGGGATAAAACACTAGCCTTGACCTTAGCACACCTAAACTTGCATTGCAGCCCCACATTGCCTCATTCTACCCTTTATTATAGTTATTTATCTATGGTCATCTATCTATAGTTCCCTAATAGACTGTAAGCTCAAATTGTTTCATCCTTAGCTTTCCCACACCGTTGACATGGCAGACAGTAAATAGTAGATTGATGGATGGATGGATGTTACGTGAACAGATGGATTGAGAAAATATTTGGGAGGAGGTTTCTCATTCAGGCAATAGTTTTGGCTTGAATTCGGCAGTTTATAATGGTCTTACCAAGTTTTATATCAAGTAATTGCTTTTCTTGAACAAATATGTGTCTCTAATTGTGTGTCAGGCTCTGTTCTAAGCACTTTGGATCTGTGAGTGAACCAATAAAGTATTTTTGACCATGAAGCTTTCACAGTTTTGATTGAGAAAAATAGGAACCATGTATTAAACAGTGTTAGAAGATGCAAAGTGCAATGTAAAAGAAAAGTGTAGAATATGTGAAGATGGGGACTGGGCAGGGGGCATGTGTTACAAGTTTAAATTGAGTGGTCAAAGTAGGTTTTGTTTGGGGATGATAATTAAGCAAAGATTCAAAAGAAAAAAACTATATATCTTCGAGATAGAAATGTTATAGACAGAGAGATTAATCAATGCAAAGGCATTGTCATATTCAAATATATATCATATGATTTCATATGTCATTGTTTTTATAGATAGGAATATTGTCAGAGGTTCATGAGACTGGAATATATAGTGGAGAAGATCAGAGAGATTACCTGGAATCCTGATTAGAGAGAGCGGGAACTGGCCATTTTTTCTCCATATAACAGATTATAAAATATTTTATGGGCTAGAGCGATAGCACAGCGGTAGGGCGTTTGCCTTGCACGCAGCGAACATGGCCGACCCGAGTTCGATTCCTCCGCCCCTCTCGGAGAGCCCGGCAAGCTACCGAGAGTATCTCGCCCGCACGGCAGGGCCTGGCAAGCTCCCCGTGATGTATTCGATATGCCAAACACAGTAACAACAAAGTCTCCAATGGAGACGTTACTAGGTCCGCTCGAGCAAATCGATGATCAACAGGAGCGCCTTACTTACTTACTTTTTACTTAAAATATTTTAGGCTTTGCAAACCATGCAGTCTCCATGATAGCTACTAGAGATAGTAAGTAAACAAATGAGCATGACTGTATTCCAACAAAACTTTTTTTGATTCTTGGGTCACATTCTTTTGTTGCTTAGGGCCTACTCCCAGGTCAGTGTTCACGGGTCACTCCCAGTGTTATGTCTGCCCCAGTGTCCTAGCAGTGCATCTCTCCTGCCCCCAGTACAACTTTTTGTGATCTCTAAAGTTTAAATTTCATGTAATTTTTGTCACAGTGTGCTCTAATTTTTATTTTTCCCCAACATTTAAATATAAGGGGACATTTAAATTACAATTAAAATGTAAAGGGACCAGGGAGATGGTTCAAAAGGCTGAGTGCATACCTTGATTACAGGAAACATAGGTTCAATACCTAGCACTGCATAGTCCCTCAGATACTAGGAGTAGCAACCCTCATTGCAAAGTGTGGCCCAAACCATCTGCCGGCCTCCCACCCTCCAAACAAAAAAGATTTATAGAAATATCAGAACCGTCATTGACTCTCATTCTTAGTTCATGGGCAGAACAGAAATATGCAACTGGTTGATTTTTGTCTGTTAGCCTGTTTGTAGGGCTCCTAAGATCACCATAAAATATTTGGTTCTTTTTTGTTAAAGAGAAGATATTGTCAAGGGTTTAAGGCAGAGTTGGTTTGCTTTAGTTTTCTGAGTCACAACTGGTATTTCTCTCTTTTTTATTTTTTCTTTTTTTGGGTCATACCCGGCGTTGCACAGGGGTTTCTACTGGCTCATGCACTCAGGAATTACTCCTGGCGGTGTTCAGGGGACCATATGGGATGCTGGGAATTGAACCCGGGTTGGCTGCGTGCAAGGCAAACGCCCTACCCACTTTGCTATCACTCCAGCCCCACAAGTGGTATTTCTCAAGTGTCAATCTTACCAAGTTGCTCAGGGGTCACTCCTGGAGTTGCTCAAAGGACTATGAAGTGCCCTACTGAACCTCCTGCGTGCCAAGTATATGCGTTAGCCCTTTGAGCTACCTATCTCCTTGACCCTCCACTGATGTTTGAGCAGACAAGTGAAATGTTTGATGTATATGTTTTTAAGAGATTCTCCATGTTATCATACAATATCTAAGATTTTCTTCAAAATAAATCTAGAGAAGACTGTAGACATAGTAGGGTACATGCTTCTCTTGTACACAGTCAACTCAGCTTCCATCCCAGGTACCCTGTATGGTCCCTTGAATCCTACCAGGAATGATCCCTGAGTACAGAGCCAGGAATAGCCCTGAGCACTGATGGGTATACCCCTTCCCGGCCCCCAAAAATACTGAAGCTAGATGATGGATATGTGAGGTTTAGTATTATTGCTATTACATAGGCCTTTTTATTTCCATAGTAGAAGGTTAAAAACAAAAGTAGGCACTCTGGCTGTTGAGTTTAGAAGGAGGTGAGGGTTATAAACAGGAAAAGCAGTTAGGCCACTCAGAGAAATGTGGTGGTGGCTTTGACTAGTCTTGGAGATACTAAATGGAGATATTTATATAATTTATATAACAATAAATGGAGATAACTTGGAGATACTAAAAGTGGTTGTACTCTCAGTGAATGTTGAAGGGTAGAGCCAACAGGATTATCTGTAGATCAAATTATGAGTTTAAGAGAAAGATGAGATTTGGGGATACCTCTAAGTTTGGGGGAAGAGTGAGTTGCCATAAACCAAATAGAAAAATCCGATTTGTGGGAAGGACTATTA